AAAATGCTGTCCACCCCCAGAGAGAGAGAAGTGATGAACTCTGCATGCAGATTGAAGCAGTTTTTTTTTCCTTTCTTTTTCTTTTTTTGCAACATGGCCAATATGGAAAAATGTTTTTTCATGACTTCACATGTGGGATGGCTATCATATTGCTTGTCTTCTCAGTGGACGGAGGAAGGGCTGGAGGAAGGGAGAGAATTTGGAACTAAAAAAAAAATGTTAAAAATAAATAATTTTTTTAAAAAGTGTGATAGGGGAGGAAAGGAAACCTGGGCCTGCTGTCATGTGCACCCTAAGTTTTAGGGAAGCAAATTTCAGGGAGCTCAGAGAAAGAATCAGTAGGCTGCCCGGAACCAACTTTATACTGTATAGGGGAAGTGGGATGGGAAGCCCCTAAGAATGAATTTCTAGAGATACAAAGAGAACCAGTTCTGTTGAGGCTGAAGAGGGGGAATTGCCTAAATAGACTGATGAGGTTGTACAGGAGTCTATCAACCAACTTAGATACTGACATTTTTAAAAACTTTTATTGCTAGCTTTTGTTTTTATATCACCTACATTTCCCAATATCTCTTTCTCCCTCCCCCCAATCCAGAGAGCTATCCCTTATAATAAAGAATAAAAAAGAAAGACACAGTCTCATGCAAATAGCTAGCAAAATAAAGCATTGTACTTCAGAGTAAAGAGGACCAGAGTTCAAATCCAGCCTCAGATACTTCTTAACGTATGCCCTGAATGAGTCACTTAACCTCTCCGGGCCTCAGTTTCTCAAATATAAAATGAGGATAATAATAACCTGACAGGGTACTTATGGGGGTCAAATGAGATAACATGTGCAAAGTACTTTGCAATCCTTAAAGTGCTATATAAATGCTGTTATTAACTAACCAACATATCAGCCAGTATATGCAGTGTTCCCCACCTCTCAAAAAAGGACTAACTCAGATTTTTTAAAAGACATGTAGAAAAGGGGGAAGCTAGGGAAGGTAATGGAAAGAATATGAAACCATGGCCTGAGGCTAGAAGTATAGCATCAGTAGTACAGCATACTTAAGGCAGTCGAGGAAAGTTCATCTCAACACAAAGCATTTTTTCTGCTTATCCAGGAGGTGCCCAAAGAACTGAGGGAATCTGATTGTGGAGTTCCTATCATTGTTCCTTGAAAGATTACTGAGCATAGGAATGGAGAAGGGCAGATGTCCTAATTTTCAAAAAAGAGGAGACCAAAGCCTGCAAACTCTAGGCCAATGAACTTGACTTGAATTCCTGTAAGATCTAGACTCAGGGAGGGGAAATGATAGCTATCTTCAGGAATGTGCTAGAGCATGCTCCTTGCCAATTATTAATCCTACTGATAATGAAGATTAAACTAAGAAGTGCATTGTGCATACATTTTTTTCCCTAAGCATTTACCTGCCCTCCATTGACTATCTTCAAGTGTTTGGGAGATTATCATATGGGCACTGGAAGGGCAGAACGAGGAGTGGGTGGGCATCATTTAGAAGACAGTTTCCACCTTAACAGTGCCACCTGCAATGCTCTGCTTTGGGAGGGAATGCTTTCTCCTTCATTGAAGGTATCCAAGCAAAGGCTGGAAGCCCCTTTGTTTGATATTCTGTAGTAGAGACTCTTGTTCCAGCCTGAGCTGGATAACACTATAAAGGAGACACCTTTTTAAAAGACATCCTAACCCAGATCAACACAATGACCAACCAGAATTCCAGAAGACCAATGATGAAACATGCTACCCACTTCCTGATGGAGGCGATGTACTCCAGGTGCCTAGGGAGATATGATCGATTCATGAATTGGTTTTGCTTGATTATGCATATTTGTTACAAGGGTTCTATATTTTTAATGGGGGGGGAGTGGAAGAGAAAATAGATTTTTGTTCATGGAAAAAAAAAGATGTAATTCAAAAATTGGGGGAAATGGAAGAGAGAGAAAAGAAATGTTTGCTAATTAAAAAACAAAATGAAATGAAAAAAATCTCCGTTGTACGGTATGGCCTCTGAGGTCTCCTGAAGACCTCCCAGGGTCACGGAGCTCACTCCTTCCCAAGGCAGCCCATTCCACATCTTACGGCACAAGAGCCTAAATTAGCTTTTACTGACAAAAGATCAGGGGCGACTGAATGCCTGGCAGGGAGCAGTCTAATTTTCTATGGCGGTCAATGGCTGTAGCCCAGTAAATGAGAAGAAAGAAGCCCTCTATTAGTATATAAAGGACTAAATGCCTCAGAACTCTACCCTCCTAATTATAACCCTTTCATATAGTCATGGGCCAGGGGGAGGACCAACATTGGAGGTCCCTTTGATCTCAAATTTTCGTCCTGGCTCACTAATTATTTGTCTTTAAAACACAAAGCATCCCAGAAATCATTGCACTAAATTGACAGAGGTCATTAAAATGTTAATGGTAGGGTATATATTTAGCCATAGGTTCTGGTTGTATAGTATATTTGTAATTCAATTCAACAAATCTTATTAGATGCCTACTGTGTGCAAGGCACTGATTTAGCTTAGTGGGCTTTCAGTGACTCAGTATGGGCAAAAATCCCTAATTAAGGCTTAAAATTTGGACTGAATAAGCATTTCCCAGAGGACCAGTGGGCGCTAATGAGCCCTCTCATAAGACTCAGCAGCAAGAGCTGCCCTGTGGCCCTCCTACTGCTTCCAGAATAAAATACTAACTCCTCTGTTTGGGTTTTAACATCCTTTACAATCTGGCTTCTCTGATCCATCTTCTCAAACGAATTCCCCAGTTTTCCCCCTTACTCGCTCTAGGTTTCAGCCTAACTGGCCAACTCACTGTCCCTTGAATGTAGCACTGTACCTCTTGCTTCTGTCTTTGCATAAACTGTCTCCCATCCCTGGAGTGCTCTCCTTCCTCTACCTCCACTTCCTGGAATGCTGAGCCCCCCCACTTGTTTGTACTCCCTCTCCCCAGAATGACTTTGTATATATTTCTTATTTGCTTCTCTTTTTTTTCCCGCAGTAGAATGTAAGCTCCTTGAGAGACAATTTCCTTTTTGCCTTTGTATCCCCAGGGCCTAGCACAATGCCTGCTCCATAGTAGGTGCCTAATAAATGTCTGTTGACTTAAGTAGTTAGTTGTCTCAGATACTAGCCTATAGCCCTGTGCTCATCACAGGCGGCCTGTGCTTGTTAGTTCTACCATTAGGGTCCCTCCAATTGACCATCTGACCCGCCCTCTTAGTGTTGTCCAGTGGGATGTCTGGGAGCAAACCAACTCCTCTAGAGAACACTACTAGGATCATACAACCATGGCCCAAATCAGTAGCCATTCCCAGATTCCTGCTTCTGCCCTTACAAGACACCCAGATTCACATACCAAGAAGAGAATCCCTCAGCAAAGAGGAGAACAAGAGTTCTATGGGAGATTAGTGAAGTATGCAGCCACTGTACTACTCCTAGCTCATATTTCCATGTACTCAGAACAAACCTGGAAGGCCAGAAATACAGGGATTATTATCCTCATGTTACAAAATGAAGAGATCTAGAGAGGTGCAATTACACAGTTAATAAGCAATAGATAAGGGCTTGAACTCACGCCTTCTGCTTCAAGTTTGGGGTCTTTTCCACCATAACATGTAGATAACATAAGATTCCATAGTTTGCCTAGAACATAGTTGTTAATCTGGCATCCTAACATCATCATTGGTTCCATTTCCCAATGGAAACCTTGAGAAAAGATGTTATTTTTTTGGTCTTGCGTGACCTATTTTTTTTTGTTTTCTTTTTTGTTGTTGTTTTTCTTTTTTTCTTTTATTATTTTTTTTGAGAGGCAATTGGGGTTAAGTGACTTGCCGAGGGTCACATAGCTAGTAAATGTCAAGTGTCTGAGGCTAGATTTCAACTCAGGTCCTCCTGATGCCAGGGCCGGTGCTCTATCCACTGTGTCACCTAACTACTCCCCTATTTCTTAATAGTATTTTATTTTTTCCAATTATATGTAAAGACAATTTTTAACATTCATTTTTTGCATTTAATAGTATTTTTTCAATTACACATAAAGATAGTTTCAACATTCGTTTTTGTAAGATTTTGAGTTCCAAACTTTTTTCCCTCCCCCACTTTCCTCACCCCTCTCCAGAACAGTAAGCAATCTGATATGTTATACATGTACAATCATGTTAAACATATTTCCACATTAGTCATATTTAACATTCATTTTTACAAAATTGTGAGTTCCAAATTTTTCTCTCTCCTTTCCCTCACCTCTTCCTAAAATAGTCAATAATTTGATATAGGTTATATATGTGTAATCATGTAAAATATATTTCCATATTAGTCATAATTGTGAAAGAAGTAACAGCCAAAAGGGAAAAAAAATAAAGAAAGTGAAAATAGTATGCTTTGATGACATTCAGAGTTCATCAGTTCTTTCTCTGGGTATGGACAGCATTTTCCATCACGAGTCTTTTGGAATTGCCTTGGATCATTGTATTGCTGAGAAGAGCTAAGTCATTCATAGTTGACCATCACACAATGTGGCTGTTACTGGGACATATTGACACACTTGAAACAACTGAAGAGCAGCATTCCAAAGAATTCCTGAGCTGCCAAGAGCATGCTGGAACAGGGGAGGAAGCACTGACCGATAGTCAGAAATAAGAGAAAACTTCCTTCTGACTGTTCTACGAGCTTCAGCCCCTATGATTTTTGCCAGCTTGTCAGTGGCATTCTATTAGTGTCCATAGAGCTCTACCAACTAGGCACATCTGCCAAGGTGCTAGGAACTGTTGTGGTGGAGCCGCTGACAGGACATTAGGTATATTCTGCTGGACTAGTCGTTTCCAATTCTGCTTGGACTGGAGCTTCTCCGGCACCCTCCCATAGACTGGAGTGATTCACTTTGGTTTCTTGGATTTTTATTATTGTATGAGAAGTTGTATGCTACATAAGCATCAGGGGGCAAAATGTACAAATGCCATTCTTAAAACATAGGTGATAGTTATGAGGCTCATCTTTTAACAGGCACCACCACAATTGAAAAATATGACCTTCGTACAAACAGTTGGATACAAGTTGGTACCATGAATGGTCGGCGATTGCAGTTTGGAGTTGCAGTCATTGACAACAAGCTCTATATTGTGGGCGGAAGAGATGGTCTAAAAACTTCAAACACCGTGGAATGTTTTAATCCAGTGGCCAAAATCTGGTCCATTATGCCTCCCATGTCAACTCATAGACATGGTCTGGGTAAGTTAAATACACTAAATGTAGTCTATCTATTTTATCCAGAAAACAGAAATGAGCATACAGTAGAGCCGGACCATGAGGTTGCTAGTCATTACAAGAATTTGCACAGGTCATGAGTCAAATAACAAACCACAAGTTTAAGAATCTGTAATTTCCTAGGTATGGGCATTCTCTTCTCCATTGCAGATCACAACTCCTCTATACCCTTGTGAGTTGCTTGACCTAAAATAAGTCAACACTTGGTGGATGACCTGGTGCTGAACACCTCTGAATTTAACAAGCTTGGTCCTCAGACAGTAAACACATGGTCCATCACCAGGCCTATGCTAAAAGCCTTTCCAACTCGTTTAGGACCTTACAGAGCTTGTGCTCCATTGGCATAGTCTTATGCACAAATAAGCTACTGGAATAGGACTTTAATGGAGGAGTCAGCTAATTTCGCCCTCCAAGAAAACTTTGGCTATTTTTTTTTGCCAGATCTGGGATTTCACTGATATAGGGAATTCTTGGTGAAACAACTGTCTCCACTGATGTAGTAAAACTGCACCTACTGTGTAACCTAGAGAGTTACACAGAGAGTTGCCTAGAGTTTTAGAGATCAAGTGATTTAGCAATGTACCTGGCACACGGTAGGTGCTTAATAAATGCTTGTTGACTTGACTTGATCTAGCCACAGTCACACAGCCAGTATGTGTCAGAGACGGGACTTGAACCCAGGTCTTCTCAAATCTGAGCCTGGCTCACTGTCACAATGCTTCTCAAAAACCCAAGTCAAATAGTATCTCTCCCCCCCACCAAGTACCACATACAGCAAAACCAAGATGGAGCATTCCATAGTTTGCCTAGAACAGAGTTGTTAGCCTTGTGGGCTAACATCATCATTATTGGTTCCATTTCCCAATGGAAATTTTGAGGAGGGACATACTGACAGACTTGAAACAATGAAAATCAATGAATTTCAGAAGTCTGTCATGGGAAAAAAGGTAGGTGGGGTAAGGAAATTATCTCTAGGTAAATGTTACCTTGTTCCCTTCCCCATGGGGACCAATCTGCATTTCAGCAAAGCTGCTAGAATGCAAAATTAGACCAGAACTTATTTAGGAAAATTGCTGCAGTTGGAAGGAACCCTGAGTTATCCTCACCCCCCCACAGGAACGATGGGATCAATGGGGTGGTTTTGAGTCCACCCCAGTAGAAGACTGGATGGGACAAAAGCCCTAGTCACTGTAAGAACTATCTTAGCTTCCCCAGAATTTCTGGGAAGGGAAACTTATTTCTGGCCTGCTGGGATGTGGACCGACATCCTTAGGCCTGGGAGGGGGTGGAGGAAGCATTTAACTGGATATTTTCCGGGATATCTTTTTCCATTCTGGGTCCATGAGCTTCCTGTGTCCATCAGAACCACCGAAAAGCATTAAATGTAAAACCATTCAGAGACTTAAGGTGACTTTTTACTCCAAATATACAAGCCTGAGGCTTTTGTAAACTTTGGGTTATGCTCAGTCAGAACCTTTCTTTTCATAATCATTGCAAAGCAACTCATTTAGTGCATTTTGAGAAATGGCTCATTTATATAATGGAACCTTGTGAGAGAAATCTCGTTCAAAGGAAGGTGACTTCAGTACAAAGCGGGGCACGGGAGAGGATGGCAAAATTAAAAATATGGTGGAAAATATGGTTTAGGATTGAGAAATGAAAGATGTTAGAGTCTCACATAAGATATAGAATCCTTTTCACAATCATCTAGTCTAACCCACAGAGAAACTGAGGCCTAGAGAGGGTGAGCACTAGCCTAAAGTCACACAACATGTAGGAGAGTTAGGCCTCAGACTCGTCATTTACTCCAAGTCTAGTGAGTGATCTTTCCACAGTACCATACTTGACAAAATTTCTTGTTTTTCTCCCTCATGTGATAGTTTTCTCCTCATTTACTGTATTCATTTATGCCACAGGTCAAAGCACATCTCCTCAAACAAAAGTAACAAGCTAATCCTATTATATTCAGGTTTTAACACCAATGTTACTCATTAGGAAGAGGGCTATTTAAGGCATCATTAGCGTGGGGCTCGATACTGGTGATCATAATGCTAGCCTTACCATGTTTTCCCTAGAAAGAGGCTCCCTGTCTGTTTGCAGTATAAAAAAAGTCAATGTATCATTGATTTCCTCTTTCAGAATATATGAAACTTTATCTACATCCTGTGCAAATATTCTAGCTTTGCCTGACTAAATATTTTTGCTTATCAGGCACCTAATTATTCATTAAACACAGAAGTTAGTCATTACTTAGTCTAAGCACTTCTAACCTAAATAATAACCTGAGGAAGAACCCAATGAAAAGCTAATTTACCAGGACAGAAAATCACAGAATCACAGGGTTTTGTCCATACATAGGAACAACAACAAAGAGCGGAGACGATAATTCAAGGGGTGAAGCCTCACAGTTGGGAAAAATTCTAGAATTCGGGCTGCAGTGAACCTCTTGCAGACAGCTTTTCGGGTCCCAAGTTGCCCTTTATGGTGAGGGGGGGCAAAGAACCTCAGGTGTGCCAGCTTCCCCTCCAGTCTTTGTTACACCCATGCCCTTCCATCATGTTTGCAGGGATCTTGCTTGTCCTCTCATGTTACTGAGAGCTTTCCTCTCTCAGTCGTTGGCAGGGCAATCTAACCAACCCCATCCCACATTTTACAGAGGAGTGAGGCCAAGACATCTTAAGTGACCTATCCACAGTCTCACACTGAATAGCAAAATTAATACTAGAATCCAGACCTCTTGACTCAGGGTCTACTACTCATTCCCTTATATACCAGACAGTTCCATTAACTACCTGAATCATAGACTATACTAATTACTCGGACCTCAATTTCACTGTGTCAGTAGAGGTATAGCTTATGCTAGAGGGAAACAAGAGTGAATGAAAGAAATGTCCTAATTAATGTCAGTGAGGATATAGATGAGGTGATAGTGATTTGCCAGCAAAACTGACTAAGATTTAAAAGAGGAAGGAAGCAAATAAACCAACAATATTAATTCCTGGAGTGGTGAAGAAAAGCAATGCAGGGATGGGCCATCAGAAGGAGCTAAGTGGGAAATCTCTTAGCAGAGCCTAGAAAATTAACTGTCCGCTGAGATGTCTCAATGAACCCATTACCTTCTTCTTTTGCTAACACTCACGATCTGCAAAGGGAAAGAGAACTGCCATTGCTAGGACCCACTCTCAGATGGATCTTTACAACATAGATGAGTTCATGCAGACGCTGCTTGCAGACAAGGCCATATCTAAGCTCTGAGCCTATAAAGAATATGGCCATTCTTTCCTTCCAGTGAGCACAGCCTGGACATTCCTGCCCAACTGGGGCAAATCTTGTCCACAGCCTCCTGTAAATTTGCTGCAGGGATCCATGAAACAGGTAGGGGGAGGAGACAGTTTCCTTCAATTCTCTTGGCCCTGCCAGGATGCCCATGTCTACTGTTTATCCCTCCCTCTCGCTATGGGGCCAGCCCATCTTTTTTCGATTATACATTGATTTGATGACATCCTTTATACCACTTCTCCCATGTAATTCATTGTGCTCGGGAAAAAAAAGTGTCCCCTACATATTGACATTCCCAGAAAAGGTAATTCTACAACCTTCATTGGCTTCACACAATTTCAACAATGATACTCTTCCATGAGACATTGATTATGCCCAAAGGGTCCCTGGGGAGCCTTTACGGGGTTATGGGAACAGCTTTAGCTTCAGATCAGTAGCAGAAGATTCTTTGAGAAATGAAAATCAAATCCAAAGCCGGTGGTTACTTGAAAAGGAGTACAGTAATCATGGGGGATGTTGAATCTAGGCAAAACTCTAACACCATTCTCCTCCTTTAGGGGTGGCCATGCTCGAAGGACCGATGTATGCTGTTGGTGGCCATGATGGATGGAGTTATCTTAACACTGTAGAAAGATGGGACCCTCAAGCACGGCAGTGGAATTACGTGGCTAGCATGTCAACTCCTCGGAGCACAGTGGGCGTCGCGGCATTGAACAGCAAGTAAGGAAACCCTTCCCAGCTCACATGCACCTACCTATCCTTTCAAACAAGATCTTTGTTTTCTTTCATTTTTTCCCCAAATTTTAAAGAAGCTGAGCTTTGCAAGGCCCACATTTTTATTAAGGTGCTAATAAAATTGATGGGAAAATGATGGAAATTACATCGATGTAGGTTACCATTGCATTTTTAAAATCTGTAGCATCATAATTGCACATTTTCCTATGGCACTTGTGAAGTTGACCATATGGTACAGTATATGTGTTTTTATATAGTTTGTTATCTGTTACATATTTTTATTCTGACCCCTGTGATGAAACTGTCTGCCAATGCAGATCCCCAGATAATCTGCACCTTAGTCTTTGGAGAGTTGCCTGTGGGAATTGAGAGGTGAAGTAACTTGCCCAGGACCACAGAGGCAGGGCATGAGCCCGGGGCTTTCTGAGTGTGACACTAGTTTTGTCCATTATGTAACACCACCAGTCATGATGTTAATACACTATTTTCTTTTAATACACTATCTTCAGCCCTAAGGATAATAATTTGGTCCTCATGAAAATCTTGTGTCGTGTATGGTATTATTATTCCCATTTCACAGATGAGTAAAATGAGGCTCAGACAGATTAAGTGACTAAATTCATAAAGCTAGCAAGTGTCTATGTGAAGCCAGGCCTTCTTGAATCCAAATCCAGTATTCTTTCCACCCTATCTCACTGCCTCTTGGGTCATGCAGTATATGTGTCCTTTATATCACCTACCAATAAGGTACTCATAAGGAAAGAAGTATCTTGCTTATTGGCAAGTGACATTATACTAGGAACCTGTTGTCATTATGAAAGAACAATTATTTGAAACAGATGTTTGATTGAACAATTTATAGAACAGTTCCTATTTTTGCCATATAAAAATCTCCTGTATGATCTGCCCATTCCTTTCCCAATCTGTGCTTTTCCATCCGGCCAAGATCAGTGCTGGGCCTCCAGACCAGCTCTTAAAGTCATAAACAGGGTGGGGTGGCCTGGGATTTGCCCCAGGGCACAAAATTTAGAAGGTGCTGAAAATACTTGTCTTCTTTTGGCACTAGGCTTTGCAACTAGTTAGTTAACATAGGAAGCTACCAGTGAGGTCCTTACACACACACACACACACACACACACACACACACGCACACACGCACACGCACACGCACACACACACACATATACACACTCATCTGAGGGTGCTTCATGTCACTTGCCCTAGTCAAAAGCATTCCTAATCATGGTTCTACTAGCTCTGGCATGAGCACCTTCCCTTTCAGTAATCCCTCTCTCTTCTTGGAATTCCCCCCTCACAGTGTCCCCTAACATTCTACCTTGGCTGACTTTCCCTGAACCTCTCACCTGTACCTCTGATCAAAACCTATCCCTCTTCGGTAATAATCCCTGACAGGGTATAAGCCCACGCTCAAAGTTCCATAGGTATTCATGGCCTACTGTTAACATGTACGCTTTTCCCGGTACCTTTCAGGGCCACCGCTTCCGTTTAAGTACCTAGGGCAGGGCGGTGGCTGCATTTCAGCCCTTCTCGACTCATGCTACGTTCATGGCTGCCCATCTGGCTTTGGTGTGGAGCCGGTGGGCACAGTAGAGGCACAGGCTCACCATGACATTCAGGCCAAATTCTGTCTTTGGTGCCTTCCCCAGCACAAACCTGAGGGGTTTGTGTTCAAGAGGAGAGAGTCTCAGCCCTACAGTGACTCAGGTCAAAAGTTCTCTTTCAAATGGTCACCCAGTGGGGTTGGTAACAACATCTACTGCCCAAGAAGGAACATGCTGAGATCGTCAAGTCGAACTCATTGGTTGCTGTGTTTCAGTCGCTCTCAACTCAGCGTGAAGGCCAGTTAAAGACTTTTGTAATTTCGTAAGCATTTATTTTATTTGTCAATGTGGGATTAAGTTAAAATTAAATTCACAGGTCTGTCTATCAAGTGTGATATTTTAAAGGTCATAGTAAAATCACCTAAGTCAATACATTTTCTAGGGTGAAAGCCAAATTTGAAGTTCTTCCATTTTCTCTCTGGGGGAAGGAGGAGACAGGTTTAGAAGGACAGGGCTAGCACTGGGCCTGTGATTTCATTGGTAGAGGCCTTCCAGTGAGGAATTTCCTCTGCCAGACTTCCCCCAGTGCAACTCAGCACTTTCTCTGCAATGGCTAGTCCTAAGAGTGGCAGGGTTACACAGCCCCAGCGAACTCAGTGGGTCAGAACTGTGGCCTGGACCCAGATCTTCCAGGCTTCGAGGTAGACGTGTCCCCACCCCACCTTTGCCTCTCTATGTGGTGTTTTAAAGTCCACAGGAAAAGTACTCAAGTCAATACAGTTTTCAGGGGCAAAGCCAGTTTTAAAGTTCATCTGTGTTCTTATGTTATGATAATAACAATAGATCATCATATTAATAATATATAATATTCTAGAATAGAATTTTGACATATTGTTATACTAATGAGAACTTACATGTATAGAGTGCTTTCAGGTTTCCAAGGTGCTTAGGCTATATACCCCTTCCCCTTCTCATTCAAAACCCCACCCCCAGGTCCTTATAGCCTCTTGCTTGCACTGTTATGCCAGCTTGCTAATGAGTCACCCTGTCTCAGATCTCTCCCCTTTCCAATTTATCCTCTGCGGAGCTGCCTAAGTGATATTACTAATAAGCACAGGTTTGACCATGTCACTCCACTACTCGAGAAATTCCAGTGGCTCCCTATTGCCTTCAGGAAAACACACACACACACACACACACACACACACACACACACATACATTCCTCTGTTTGGTATTTAAAACCCTGTACAATCTGATGCTAACCTAACTTTCTTTTTTTTTTTCTAACCTAACTTTCCAGCCATAGATAGACAGACAGATAGACAGATAGATGGGTAGATAGACAGAATTCTATTATATTTCCTATCACGTACGCCCCTTCATATGCTCTGCGTTTCATCCAGACTGGCCTGCTTGCCATTCCCTGTACGTGACAGTTTATGTCCCATTTCCATGCCTTTCCACAGGCTGGGCTCCTTACCCATAATGCTCTCAGTCCCCCTTTTAGAGTCCCCAGCTGCCTTCCAGGCTTAGCCCTCATGCCACCCCCGTTCACGAGGCTTCTCATGATTCCACTTACTGAGGTCTGCTCCTTCTCAGACACTTTGTATTTATTTTGTATTTGCAAATTTTATTTTTATTCCAAACTTAACAAATACTACATAAAATGGGCATTTTATTTTATATGTTTAGGTCAAAAGAGACTTGTACTTAAAACTGTAGCTCTGTAGTATCTAATGATTGCTGGTAGCTTTGAAAGCTGTCCTGTCTGTGTGTGGTTCCAGTTTGGCCTTCCTTGTAGATATTTTGGATTTCTGTGTCTGTGTACATGAGGTTTCTCTCAATAGAATATAAACTCATTGACCATTTGGGTTTTGTCCCTTTGTCCATGGAACTTAGCACACTGCTTGGCACATAGTAGGTGCCTGATAAAATGGTTGTTGAGTGAATGAAAAAATGAATGAATGAGTATATGACTTGCCCAGTGTGTGAGGCAGGATCTCACCTCCGAGATCAGAGCTATGGTCCCTCTACCATGTTGTCTCTGTATTAGATTAATGTGATATACAGGAAGAGATGCATGCCTTACTATTTCCCAGCCACTGATCTGCAAGAGAGGAAGTTCTCCAAAGCAGCAGCGGCTATCCTGCCAGGCCATGCTGTCCTACCAGGCCATGCTGTCCTGCAAGGCCGGGCTGTCCTGCTAGGCCCGGCCAGCAGAAGGCAAAATTGTGTAGCAGGTGAAGTCTGTCTTTAGTGACCTCCTTTTAACATGCTTCCCCCAATTCCGCCTTGGGCATTTTTCCCCACAGAATACTGATCTGCAAGAAGGTAGAGTATTGGCATTTAAATAATGAATAAATTCTTGAAAATTTAAATCCTTCAAGAACCAAAACAGGCATGACTCTAATGGTGGGATTTCAGGCACTGGCTGGGGAATGGGAGAGGACTTGACTACATGACTCAGTTCATAGCATATGACCTGCTCCGTCTACTCCAAAGCTCAGTGCTGCTATTGAGTCGAGTCTGTATTTATAATATTTCAATAATTTTCCATGGCTCCTCCCTTGTTCATTCAACTTAGGAAATAGAGAGCCTTGTACAGCCTCTCTTTCTCTCTCTTTCCTTTTCTAGATTATATGCTGTTGGTGGACGAGATGGAAGCTCTTGTTTAAAGTCTATGGAGTGTTTTGACCCTCACACCAACAAATGGAGTATGTGTGCATCAATGTCAAAAAGACGCGGCGGTGTTGGGGTTGCAACGTACAATGGATTGTTATACGCTGTTGGAGGACATGATGCCCCTGCATCCAACCACTGTTCCAGGCTGTCTGACTGTGTGGAAAGGTGCCTTTTCTTGCTTTCTTATTTCCCTCTCCCTCATTCCCTTCCTTGCCCTTCCATAGTCCTTCCTCCTTCCCTCTTTCCCTTCCTTTCTTTTTCTTTATTGCCATTCCTTCTCTAATTTCTTGCCCTCCTTTCTTTCCTCTCGTCCTCCCTCCCTTCCGTTTTCTAAATCCCTTCTTTCCTTCTTCTTTCTTTGTTGCCCTTCTTTCTATCCCTTCCCTCTTTATAAATTAATGACACAAGTTTTTACTTAGCTCATGCTAAGCACTGTACTAGGAACTGCTGGGGAAGCGCTATGAAGCAGGATCCTTGTCCTCTCTGAGTTAATAAGGTGTGACTGTGCAGATTGTTCTTTTTACAAACCTAGCAGAACACTGAATGAGCCTCGTCCTTCAGAGCAGTCACCTGCCAGGGGCTGCCTAAGTGCACTTATCCCAGAGAGGCTGTCATTGCTATGAATTTTGGAGCACCACATCTGGAATTGCCTTCAGAGCCATGGAAGGCCCAGAGTCACACATACATATTACATGTCTCCTCACTGTAGTCACATCATGATCTTCCCCTTCCCTGGCGCCCCCAGACCTCCCACCACAGTCATCATTGCTGAGATTAACTTGCTGACGTTATTTAGCAAACTTAGCTCAGAATGACATTTGGCTGCTTCGAAAGTAAAGTCCACCCTCAAAGGCCAAAGAGATTTCCGAGAATGTCCTACAGGCCTGAGTGTTGGAGGGAGATGATGCACACTGCTGTTCCTAACCATCTGCAGAGGTCAGCAGAAGCTGTCTGTGTCTTGTTTAGGGCTCCACCAAAAAGCAAACAAAATTATAAACACCTTCAAGTCCTCACATGTACGATTTCCATAACAAAGAACAGCAACTTAGAACTGTGATGGAGTGTGAGGGCTGATCAGGGCCTCTTAGATCACCATTTCCTAATTGCCAGTCCATGGCCCAAGACACATTTTAGTGCCATAGGCCCTTCTCAAAAAAACGTTAGAAACTCTTTGTATTCTGCCCTTCTTAACTTCCGACTCCTTGTCTGTGGCCCTGAGGCACCAAGGATGTACCATCCACGTAGGGCAGAGTTGCAGTAGAGAATTTATGGTATGGTGTGGGTTGGAAAATATTCCTATAGAGCATCTAGTTCAACCTCTTCATTCAAAAGAAATTAAGCCCACGGAGGTAAAATGAAACTTATCTAAGGTCACGTGACAAGTGAGAGGCGCCCAGGTTTTTGCCTGAGCTCTCCTCCATATGGTACTTATATCATCAGAGATTATTGGCTATATAATAAAATCACCCTTCTCATTCTATTTCTAGGAGAAAAAAGGCATCATAGCAAAGCAACAAAGCCTTTTAGCCTTGAGCAGTCGAAAAAGTCCGTTCCCCCTAAGGGCCCGAGTGCTGAGTCACACAGAGTCAGCTGGAAGAAATCACATCGAGGACAGGCCTCATTACAAGTACACGCTGCTGTGTGAAGCAGTAGCCACAATGAGCAAATCCAGCATGTCTGGGAGTACTGAAACATAATCAAGTGGGAGCGTTTCCCTTTTTTGTAGAATTAAGGAGAATTTCTTTAAAGATGAAACATGTTGAGTGTGACCTCCATGAGTCTGAGAAAACAGTCAGGCACCTAACTTCCCTAATATGGCCTAAGTACATTTATCCGCAAAACAAATAAAATTGATTTGAATTTTAGGAGAGTTTTCTGGGTTTTTTAGATTTTAGATCATAAAAAACCCAGTGTGTTTAGTTGTATGCCAAAAGACAGAGACAGAATAATATAGAAAGAAGATGGTGATAATCTCTACCTAGTCAGCTAATGCGTAATGGCAAGTAAAAGTCAGTATATGGACTAGAGGCTGTGTGGTGTAATGGAAGGGATGTCACAGTCCGAGTCCGAAGGAACTAGATTCCAATGCCAATTCTGCTCCTTCTGACCTGGATAGCCTGGAAAGTGCTCTGGCCTCTCTGGGCTTCGTGTTTGTCATCTCTCTTATGAGGCAGATATACAAGCTGACCTCTGAGGTCACTTGCAGCCCCAGATCTGAGAGCCTGTGTTTTAGGCTGTGTTTTGAGCAAGTTGCAAATGAAGGAGAAAGTAGAATGAAGGATGTCATAAAAGAAATGTACGCGTATAAAGAAGATAGACTGGTCACCTAGTGAGAGCCAGGCATAGCCAGAGAGGTATAGGCACTCCCCTGGATCTTTGTGAGGTCAAGAGAATGTGAGGAAGACCTGCTGTGACAAAGTTACACGGGATAGGCAGGCAGGGATAAGGTACCCATATCGATGAGACCATAATGCAGTGGAACACTGGAGTATATTTTAGGGAGATCTGGTGTGGCCTATTGTATGTTCAAATATCTGGGGCGGTTAGGTGGCACCGTGGTGGGATAGAGCGCCATGCCTGGAATCAGGAAGACCAGAGTTCAAATCCAACCTCAGACACTGACTAGCTGTGTGACCCTGGGCAAGCAGCTTAACACCTGTTTGCTTCAGTTTCATCATCTGTAAAATGGGGAGAATAATAGCACCTACCTCCCAAGGTGGTTGTGAGGTGCAAATGAGATATTAATTGGAAAGCATTTAGCACAGTGCCTGGCACGTAATAAGAACTATGTAAATATTGTTATATAAGTGTTGAAGTATTATTAATTGCTTCATCATGGAAAACATTTGTTCCATGGTAAAGACATTAAACTGCAATTGGAAAGTGCACAGAAGATTGCCATGAGACAGTGCATTGTTTACTGCTCAGGATCTTTGAGAGGACTTTTGTCCAAACACATGGATCTATGGAGCATGATAGCCAGAAAACAGGGCCCCATCGGTGCTTTGCATCTTTATGAGGGTGATGTAAACTTGACCTCATCAAAGCACCAAATAGATTGGTAACACATTACTTTTGTGACTAAACTTCACTGTAAACTGTCCAAATAACTGAGCATTCTCCTTTGTGTGTAGACCGGGGAATTTCACTCTAAACAGTTATCTGCTGAGAGACATTAGGGCCACAGGGCTTGTCCCCACGCCTCCAAATCCCCAGACTATCTGCCTCGGTTTCCTCAGCCACCTGGGACATGGGTTTCAGGCAGTGTACAACCTCCTGATCAGATGCCCACCCTGATCCCCCACACTGGCCTACACATCCTGTTCCAAGCCATGCCTCCCAGAGTTACCAGATTATCTCAGGCTGACATAGAGAGCTGGATGGAACCTTGGAAGCCACCTCCCCCACCCCTCCCACTTTTCTGACGAGGGAACCGAGGCCTAGAGAGGGCAAGTGACTTGCTCCGGGTCACAAAGGTAGGAAGCAGCCAAGCTAGCATTGGAACCCAGGGCCTCAGCCTCCCAATGTAGCAGGCTTTCCCCGGACCACGCTGCCTCTCTCAGAGGTGACTTGAAGGACCAGAACGTTGGTTTGGTGGCCATGGAGTTTTTTACAGTGCAGTCTGCTCTAGAAAGGTCTAAAGGTCCATACCTTTAGTTACATTTCCTTGCAAATGCATACAGCAAGATGAATAAGAACTCCTTTTTCTTGTTTTAGCTGCACTTTGCTTAACAACAATAACAGTAAATAATAATATCAATAATACTACTAATACTAGCTAGCTGTTATATGACACTTTTCAGGTTTTCAGGTTGTTTTCCATCTATCATCTCATTTGGTCATGTGGACTGACAGCATTCCATTTCCTAACTCACCGTTATTCCCTTTTATATGATTACTCTTTAATAACAACAACAAAAAGAAAAAAAAATCTTTAAACCTATAGTCCAAACATATTCAAACATCCTTGCAAAGAATGTGACAAGATGGCCTGGAAAACGTGGAGGAACCTCGGATCCAGTTGTTTACAATTGCCACCAAAAACTGATTTGGGTTCAGATAGGAGTGAGGATGATGAGAGGGATTCCTTTTACATCAGTGGGGAAAAGGAGGTGCAGGAAGTTACGTGGATGTCCCTAATGACACTGTAATTGGCAAAACAAGAATGCAAACTTGGTTCTCTTGACTTCTGGCCCACCATGCTTTCCCTGAGAGCATCCTTAGCTGTACAGTGTAGGTACCATAGCTAATATTTAAGAGGAAAGAGAAACAAAAGGGAAAGGGATTTCTTTAGGTTTGTAATCAGCCTGTTACTAAGCAGGTGGGGCTGATGATTTTTCCCGAACATCTTCACTAGGAGCAGTGTCGTTGAAATTTGTCCTTCACTTAACCTTTGGAAGACCGGACATTACTCAGCTCCTCTGGTTGATGTGAACATTAGCCAGATTTTATTAGTCACCACACAAATGCAAAATTCTGAATCTTTTCAAGCAAATCTGCTAAGAAAAACAAATCTATATAAAATGAGTTATTATTCACACATGTGGCTGTCCTCATAGACAGATGAGTTTTGCAGCAATTGATCATAGCAGTTTTGTTGAACTGAGGATTCAGTGTGGATAGAGAATGCAGCCAGAGAATTTAAGAATGTCACCACATAATATATAACAAAGTACGTGGTGCTAAAAGTTAAGTGATTAAATATTTCCATTTTCTTTTAATGTACAGTTGAATCCATACAATCTAAAAGATTCCTCCTAAGTGTACAGACAAGTTCATTCACTCATTCATTCTTTCACTCACAAATATTTGCTAAATAGCTACTCTGTGCAGTGCATTGTGCTAAATTTGGGGGGAAATAAAAAGATGAAGTAGGTATAGTCCCTGCCCTCAAGGAACTTACGATTAATGCATTTTGGGAGAAATAGTACATGTATGGAGATAAATATGATACAAATTGGAATATGTTAGGCACATTAAAGGAATATAAATTGTCCTGAGGTCAGATTAAAGAGAAGTTACATGTTTCAGTTATGTTCAGATAGAAACAGATGGAACAAAGCAGAATGTAATAGAAAAGTTGTTTAACAAGAAGCTTTAATTTTAAAATACAGTAGAATATCGTAAAATTATTTCTCTTGAATAAAATAAACTTACCATTTGATTTTTAGTAGACAAAAATAAAATCAGAGAGGCTTATAACAGGGGTTAAGGTGAGTGTGTTGTTTTATTGGTTTTCCCTCTTTGATTTTTTTATCCTGTACCTGGTAGGAAAATGCGCCAAGCCTTGGGACAAGAATTCCTCAGGCTTTCCAATGAGTGGGGATAACTGGATTTTTTTCCATCTCACTGATAGAAAAGGTTCAGGAAAAAGGAGTTAACTTGAGAATGAAATGGGAAAAAACCTAGGGCTTCTGAAAAAAGAGACAAAAATATAGTGGAGAAGCCAATGCCCCCCCCCAACCCCCACAAACAGTCATAATTATGGTCAATGGGGAGTTTTTCTTTCTGGGATGCGATTAGAAATTGTAAGACTTCCTCTCTGAGTCCCAACAAAGACATTGTTGATACCTTGCAAATGTTTTCTAGTTTTATAATGTGCTTGGAGAGTCCTCTAGTGGTTGAATGAAGACATGCAGCCTGTTAAATAGTCCTAACTTTATTGTGGAGGGCTATTGAACATTCTGAAATATACTGTCAAGTCTTTGTTTTGAGATGTACCTGTGTATTTTTTTTTTTTTAGTGAGGCAGTCGGGGTTAAGTGACTTGTCCAAGGTCACACAGCTAGTATGTGTCAAGTGTTTGGTCAGAGGCTGGATTTGAACTCAGGTCCTCCTGACTTCAGGGCCGGAGCTCTATCCACTGCGCCACCTAGCTGCCCCTGTACCTGTGTATTTAAATAATATATGTATATATGGCTGTGTTTGTATATCCGTACATACATGTGTATATTTGCTATGTGTGGGGATGGTTGTTTTGAACTGTCTTCCCACTGGATTGCCTCCCCACAATTTTTCTTCTACAATTTCTTAGGTATGACCCCAAAACAGACACATGGACAACAGTAGCCCCTTTAAGCATCCCTCGTGATGCTGTCGGGGTCTGTCCTCTTGGAGATCGTCTGTATGCAGTGGGAGGATATGACGGACATTCGTATTTGAACACAGTCGAGTCCTATGATGCACAAAATAATGAATGGACAGAGGTAAGATCATAGAAACATTCATATACAGAGCACTTTTCCCTACATTAAAAAAAAAAAAAAACTGCTTGGGAATTCTGTTACCTCCTGACCAGGGTGCAAAGAGAGGGGCAAGATTCTAGGATAGAATCAGAGAATCTTAGCATGAAGAGAGTACCCTCTGAAACCATCCACCTGAAACATGAATACTCTCTCTAAAATCCCTGACAGAGGGGCCTCTGGTTTCTGCTCAGAGACCTCCATTGATGAGAAATGCATGTCTTCCCATGGCAGTCCATTCTTTTTGGGGATGACCCTAATTGTTTAGGGTGAAAACTTGTTCCCCATAACCTTTACCACTGTCCTTAGTTCTGCCCACTTGGATCAAGAGAAATCAATAATAAACCTAATTTCTTATCCATGTAATAACCCTTTGAATAACGAAAGATAGCAACGTTAAATTTTTTTTAAAAAGCAAGCAAGCCCTGGGCATATATTTGCTATGAGGAATGCTTCATGTCACAGATTTAGAGATAGAATCCAGTCTGTCATTACTAACAGCTTCCTGTAGGAGATGGCATATGAGACAGAAGAAATCTCAAAGACCATCTAGTGCAACCCTCTTATCCTTCAGATGAAGAAACTGATGTCTGAAGAGGTTAAGAGACTTCCCCAAGGTCACATAGGTAGTAAGTGACAGGGCTGAGATGTGAACACAGGTCCTCTGACTCCAAATTCGATATATATCCTTTCAAGCCCTCCCCACTGTAACTGCCTTATTTCCGTCAAGGGCTCTACCATCCTTCCGGTCAGCAGGTTCACAACCTTTTTCATCTCTGACTCTTCCCTCTCCTTCTCCCCCATATACAATAGTTGCAGTCCAATGTTATCACCGGGATTCTTTCCACTCACACACGTGTAGCCACCACTCTAGTTCAGGTTGTCCACCCTCCTTCCTTGACTATTACAGTGGCCTCCTAATTGGCGTCTCTGCCTGCAGTTTCTCCCAATCTCCAGTCTGTCTTCCATAGAGCTGTGAAATAAGTTTTTCCTACAGCATCAGCCTCCCTGTGTCATTCTCCTGCCCAAGGAGCTTCAGTGGCTCTCTAACAGAATACATCCAAGATAAAACACAAACTCCTTTGTCTGATATTTAGCACAATTGGAATCCAGTCTTCTTTGCCAGGTTTCTTAAGCATTACCTCTTCACACACTTTCCATTCCAACTATGCTGAACAAAGAACCTGTCCCTCATACTAATGCAGTGACCTGGACTAAATGATGTCCAGATTCCCATCCCAGGTAAATTTATTTTACCAGGAACCCTCTAGAAAAAGAGCCTTGGCATGAAGTGTTATCCACTTCAAGAGGAATTTGAGATGATGGAAAAGAAAAGTTTAGTTTGGTATTTCAGCGATCAGGAACTTTGTGCTGAGGGGCAGCCCTGTGCAGAGGACAGAAAGAGAAGAAGAAGACCATTAGAGCAGCAGGAGAGATTTAGCTGAGACCCAAGAACGAACTTTCTGAGCATTATACATTAAAAGGTGCAAATAAAGAAACCATTTTGCTGATGATCTTTAAACATTTGCCTGTGATGTCTTCAGATAGTAGGAGAGACCATCTCTCAGTCAGAGGCTTATAGAATTATGCTTTAGACTTCAAGAGGTATAACAGAAATAATACCATACTACAGGGTCAAGAGGCTGTTTTTGGTTTTGTCTCTCTCCTTAACTAGTTAGGTGATTTGGGGTAAATTACCTCCCTTCTGTGGGCCTTAACTTCCTCCTGCACCATATACAGTGGTTCAGCTAGATACCCATGGATGTCCCTTCTAGCTCTTACATTCTCTAAGTTTCAGATTCTGAAATGTATTTCACAAAAGATACTAACCCCCATTCCCCAGGATCTCGTTTAGTGACATCCACGTGTTATCTCTTTCTCTTCAGGAAGTTCCTGTTAACATTGGAAGAGCTGGAGCTTGCGTTGTGGTTGTGAAACTGCCCTAATGAGATCCAGCAAACATAAAAGCAAACCAAACTCCCAGCTCATGAACCAGTGTAGGAGGAGAAGAAGAAGAAAGCAAACACATTTGAAGTAGCAGCTGTGCTTGTTGGGAGCTAGCTACTAAATGGGCAAATCACATTGGGCTTGGTATATGATTCAAAACTAAATTTAGAGTTTCTTTATTTTCCAAGCAGGAATTACACATGACAGTCACCTAAAAGTGTTGTCACAGTTGATTCATATAAAGCCCCATCCAATGAACCACGTTTAAGTCTTTTGAATGAAAATACTCAATGTTTAATGAAACTTGGTAATGGCCAAGGCAGGACACGTTATGATGTGAAACAAAATAGAGAAAGGAGTGTTGATCTTGGGGTCATCAAATCCTAGATCTGCCACTTACTACCTATGTGACCTTGGGAAGTCACTTAATCTGTCTGGGCCTCAGTTTCCTTAGCTGTAAAATGAAGAGGTTGGACTCCATGACCTCTAAAGTCCCTTCCAGGTCTGAATCTATGATCCTATTACTTGATGGTCTCTAAGATCCCACCCCATTTCTGTGAACTTCAATCACACCCAAAGGAGGCTTTATTTAACATGTTTTCCAAACCCCCACAGTATTATTAATAGCTTTCAATTTAAAAAACAAACTTTCCAAACTGGCAAATGCTGTGGGATTGTCCCTTGCCAAAAAAAAAAAGTTTCTCTGATTACCTAAAATATTATGATTGAACATGGGAGTGAACATCTGACGCTCTAATGTAAGAACTTTCAAATCTGTCTAAATTCCAACAAGGCATTCTTCTCTTATCCACTGCTGCCTCAAAGAAATACTACAAATTACCCTGCTGACCCATATTACTGTTGTGCTGATCACAGTATGTTACCTTCTTCATGAAAACAGAGTTCTTCACCCACCATCTGCTAGGACTTACTCACAAATTGGACTTTCCTCATATTTAGTTACGGATGCAATCTGGCAACAGGAAGTGGCTAGGGTCCTTTCATAAACATGACTCACACATTGAGAAAAATCCAGTATTTGTCACATTGATACAAACTGTGGCTTCAGCTTCAAAGTGCCACCACCTGCCACCACCAAAGAGTGGGTAGTGGGCTCCTCCAACATCCCTGGGAACTCAGTGATTAGCAACTGTTAACTGAGTGTGTTTGCTAAGGAAGTAAAAAGATCAAAATTCAAGATGGAGATATGCTTCATAGAAGGTTGGTGATCACTTGGAAACACCACAGTGTTCAACGTGCATGACTGTTCCTACAGATTTCTTTCATACGTCAGTTTATATGAAGTTGTTTTTCATTGCCGTTGTTTTTGCTAATTTAGTCTTGGTAAGGTTCCAATAAGGAATGTTTAGAATGTACTTCTAATCAAACATAAAAGTGTAGTTGGGTAGTGACTATTTTCGCTTTAAAAATCTAACTTTCATTTAGCTATAAAATTATTCAGGATAAACCATTGAGAAAGTCTCCTTTTGACAGCTTTTCAGGTTGTGAAATTAGACTTCATTTTCAGATTGTGAATGTGTTGCTTTCAATGGGCTTTTTATTGTTGGTTGTGAAGAAAACGTTTAAGAATCTCCACAGAATGATACGGAAAGCGAATCATCCTTACTGGTTGTTAATGTTGCGATGCAATCGGCACAAAATGGTATTTGGAAATTGGCATGTGGAGTTCAAATAAACGTGGCTTTCTCTGAGAGAATGAGTGATTCTTGAATGTGGCGTATATAACCTTGTTTCCCCCTTCCTTTTCATGCTGTCCTTCCCAGTGCCCAAAGTAATGTAACGTAAATAATAAAGGGAGATGAAGTCCTCGTGTGATCCCCAGAGTACTCTTTCAAAGCAGAAGCTAGGGCAGAGCTTTCTTTTCTATTCTCCAAAGTTCTAGCACAGTGCTGGGCACATAGTAATTACTAAAGACTAAGCAATTACTCTTTGTTCCCAACCAGCATCTAGAATTTAATACAGACATTCATAATATCATAAGACATAGAGGGAGAAAGGACTTGAGAAATCATCTTCTCCAACTCTCTCCTTTTACAGAGGAGGAAACTGAGGCAGGGCATTATAGCTAGTAAACAGCAAAGGCAGGGTTCAGGATTTCAGCTGCCCGGTTCTCTCTACCATATAATGTTTTCTCCAATGCTGTAGCTTAGGATAAGGAGTATGAACAAGTCATGGGAAGATTTGTTTGGTCAGGGGAATCATTTTCTTTTCTTTTCTTTTTTTTTTTTTTTTGCTAAGCAATCGGGGTTAAGTGACTTGCCCAGGGTCACACAGCTAGTAAGTGTCAAGTGTCTGAGGCCAGATTTGAACTCAGATCCTCCTGACTCCAGGGCCAGCACTCTATCCACTGTACCATCTAGCTGCCCCTGGAATCATTTTTAACACCTGTAGTGTCATACCACATAGGCAGAAGCCCACTGCCCATCTGGAAGAACAGCATCGTCCTCCTCCTTGCCCATCTGTTATCCGTGAGCACTGTACTCTACCTTGCAGACCACATATACCTTTCAGGGCTCACAGCTTCCAAAGGTAGGGTGTTAGAAGAGTAACGCAGTTTGCCTCCAGATTCTGTTTTCCTAGCTTGGGCAATGTGGCATTTAAGCGGCCAGGACCAGGTGGGGCTAAAACAATTGGAATTAGATGAAGAAACCTGGAAGGGGGCATGTTAATAAAGAGCTTTGAATGCCACATAAAGGATGGTAAATCTGAATCCGGAGGTAAAAGGGTGCTACTGGTGTTTGAGTAAGTGGCTGCTAAGGTCAGATCTAGGTTTTTAAAAAATCATGTTGGCAGCTGAGTGGAAAATGAGTTGGAGTGGGGAGAGACTGAGGCAGGGAGACTAACCAGAAGGCTATTCCTATAGTCAGGCACAAAGTGAGGAGGGCCCATACCAAGGGTGGCGGCTGTATAAGGAGAGAGACGGGGACATATATGAGAGAGATTGTGAAGGGTAAAGTGACAAGATCTGACAAGACATTGGAAATGGGGGGTGACCGCAAATAAGGAATTAAGAATGACACTGAGGTTGTGAGTCTGGGTAACAGGGAGGATAGACGTGTACTTGACATTAATAAGTAAGTTCAGAAGAGGGAAGGTTTGAGGCAGAAGCATGCTAGATATGGATCAAACCAGTTCTCAATGATTAAATGTTCAATGTGAGCATTTGCACCTCAGAAACCATCAGGCACTGCAAAACAAGCTTGATATATTGTTTTGTTGATTGTGATGGAGAAAATGCTAATATTATATAGATTAAACTTAAAAAAAAATTTGTTCTACATACATTCCCCTCCCCCCAACCTGGTTGCTAAACATTTACTATCACACCTCTGGTTTCAGGGAAAGGTAATGAATTCTCTTTTGGACATGCTGAGTGTGAGATGTCTATGGCCCACCCAGTTCAAAATGTCTATGAGGCAGTTGGTAATTCAGGACTGGAGAGAAATTAGGTCCAAATGTATCAATCACAGAATTATTTGGATGGAAATTATAACTGAAACCATGGGAGCTGTAAGATCACCAAGCAAGATTGTAGAGAGAAGAAAGCCCCAGGGGACATCCTCTGTTAGTGGGAGTGACCGGGTTGAAGATCCGGCAAAGTAGTTTGAAAGCAGTGGTTAGACAGGAGGACAACAGGGAGAGAGCAGGGTCATGAACACCTAGAGATGAAAAAGGAGCACAAGGTCATCAACAATGTCAAAGGCTACAGAGAGGTGAAGGTGGAAGAAGACTGAGAAAAGGCCATTAGAGTTGGCCATTACGAGACCATTCATGTCCATGACTTTTTCAGTCATTCCTCAATGAGCAATCACTTCGGTTTCCAGCTTTTTGCTCCCACAAAAATTGCCGTTATGAATATTTTAGCATCCATGAGACCATTTTTTTCCTGGTTTTCAACTCCTGAAGGTATATGTTCATCCCCTAAGTGGTAGGAGGTTCTTCCACATTGGACAACACAGTACTCACCTTAGGGCCTCTTCTACTGGACAGCCCTTCAGACATTTGAACACAGAGTTTATTACATTACTTCTATCTCCTCTTCTTCAAGCTAAACATCCTCAGCTCCTTCAACTGATTTGGTTTCCAGTCTCTCATCATCCTGCTTATTCCCTATGGATACACATTCACTTGCTGATCCCCTTGAAAGGTGGTACCCACAACTGAATATAATACTCCACGTGCATTACTACCAATGCTGGCTGCACTGTCTCTTCTGCTCTGAATTCTATACATCAGTTAACGCAATTTAAGATCGCACTGTTAGACTTCCTGGATCTCTCTGAATTCAATTATCATGTCTCTGTAGATGAGTTCCAGACCTATTTATCCAGCCGTAACCTCGCATCCCCAGCTGTCTCTTGGACATCTCGAACCAAGTGTCCTGTGGGCACTTCAAACTCGACACATCCCAAAGAGAGCTCATTATGTTTTCCCTCAAACTCTACCCCCTCCCAAACTTTCCTATTACTGTCCAGGTTACCACCATTCCCCATCACCCAAGTCCTCAACCTAAATGTCGTCCCCAACTCTTCACGTTGCCAACCTTTTCATTCCTACCTTTGAAACATTATATATATATATATATATATATATATATATATAATGTTTCAAAGGT